ATCGTTATCTTGCTGGCCTTAACCTGTAGCTGTTGTCTTGCTAGTCTTATCCTTTAGCTGCTGTCTAGCTAGTTTTATCCTTTAGCTGCTGTCTAGCTAGTTTTATCCTTTAGCTGCTGTCTAGTTGGTTTTAGTCTTTAGTCACTATTTAGCTGATCTTCACCTATAGTTTCTGTCTTGCTTGTTTTATAGTTTTTAGTCTTGTTGGTATTAGACATTAGCTGTTGCTAGTCTTAGCCTCTTGCTGCTGTCTTGTTAGGTTTTAGTTTTTCTCTTAGGTTWAGACTCTTCAGTAACATAATTACAAACTCAGCATTCACACCGTATTTTTCCATTTCTTATGTTTAAAGTTCAAATGTTTTTGTTGGCACACAGCGTGTTTCCTGGACTCCATGGCGACTCTCGGCCTTGCAGCCTAYGGCTACGGCATTCGATATGAATACGGCATCTTTAATCAGAAGATCAGAGATGGCTGGCAGGTAAACCAACTATCATGTCTGTTAGCGACGGCCTCTAATCAGAACGTGGGTCTGTTTTCCTGCTGAATATTAAGGTTCTCTTATCAAAGTCTAATGAGGTCAAAGGAGAAGAGCATTGTGTCAGAAAACAGCAGAAGCTAATGATTGACAGGAACTCTGATTGCAGAAATGGTGCAAGTTCCTCAGAAGTCGGCTGTTGTTGGTTTTAGATGACAAAACAAACATTGCGTATTTTGTAGTTAGCGGTCACAAAACGGCAGTTTTTTGCTCTTTTGTGTGCTGCTGGTTGTTTATAGTTCAACTGCTCTGAGTAAACATGGACCTCTGAACCCTGGACCGGCACACATGAAACTCTGTTAAAGAAAAAGATTTACTGAAAACAGCATCTTATTTGTTAATTAGACCCAACATGAGGTCAGGTAGAACAGGGACAGTGTCCTTTGTCCTCAACCTTTAACCGACCTATGACCTTTGCTGCTGCAGGTGGAGGAGGCCGATGATTGGCTGAGGCACGGAAATCCCTGGGAGAAGGCTCGGCCCGAGTACATGCTGCCCGTTCACTTCTATGGACGCGTGGAGGAGACCAGAGACGGGCCTCGATGGGTGGACACTCAGGTGTTAACAGAAAACTTCACTGCGGTTTTTAACACCTCAGACGTCCTTGAAGGAATGCACGTGACCCGCCATCTTTCAAACTAGATTTATACTAAGACCATGGTGTCCGGTCTTGGTCCTAGATGTCCACTAACCTGCAGGGTTTTTTTGTTTYTCTGCTGCAACACACCTGACCTTATGTCATCAAGTACTGCAGCAGCCTGTTAATGTCCCATTTTGGGGTGCCATTATTAGTCAATTAGTCGATGACTAATTTAATAATCGATTAGTCGTT